TTCGTCACCAACATTCTTACACACCTCTTAGGTAATACCGTTAGGTCTTACTGTTTTACCTCGTGTAATATTACAGAGTATGTCTACATTCTTCTAAAGCTGGAGTTGGTTAGAGGCTTGGTGGACTACCTATTAAAGTGTTCATCCCAATGTTCCAGTTACCTCTCTTGAGAAATTACCGAAGTCCCATCTTTCTCAGAGATTATTTTACTTACCGTGGTTTTTGTAAAACCCACTTCAGTAATGAGCTTAAGTAATTAACTGATACCAACCAATGGTGATGCCTTCTGCATATTTCTCGCTCTCGTACTCACTACTGTTTGTAGTCACTGCAAAGAAATTTGGTCAACTCACAACTCTGGGTAGATTTTGCTCTCCGTCTTCGGAGCCTGCTGGAATTACTCTCCTTACATGAATTTGTTCGGACGAAGCTGCAGACTTCATATGGCAATTACCAACATCTACGTATAGGTGTTCAACGGTGTTCAAACTTCCTCAAGATGAACCATTCTACGATATTCAGATGTTTATCTTATCTATCTCCTCTCTGTATACAGACCTTACAATACGTAAATAGCCTACAGCTGCTCCTTTTATATCGTTTTTGTCGTAGGCATACACATGCATGTACTAATGCATGATAGGATTCCACACCAGTATTCCGGAAGGAAAGACCACGAATCTTTTCAATCGGTAAATTATGGTTAATTGATCTATTTGTGTTCATCGTTGGCTCGATATCAGTGAGACGAAACGATTTCCCTCCTTATGTTTTAAATCAACACCGGAACCAATGGTTACCTGAACCGATATTTAAAAGAAGACTGCCGTTGTCCCCAAACAAAAGCGCCATAGATTAATCCTAGACACTTAAGTGAGTACAGATAGGACTAGCCTTTCTCAGGATGAAGACATTTGGTTTCCTTCAATTGTTCATAGCACCTAGCCAATAGAGATTCCAAATTAGTTGATGAAGAGTCTACAGAAATGCAGGTACCATCAAGGCACACAGGTCATGCTGCTATACCACATAATATAGTGTATGTCATCTGTTGAAAGATGGTGGACGCTTTTTAGTCTTAAATGGTAGTCGAACATATTTAGAAAGTCCACGGTGTGTACCGAACATCAGTTCACAACATTTGGTAGAAAGTCTATTTATAAGATGAATTAGATTACAAACTACGATGACGAAACGTTTCGAAACCTTAGAGAAATAAGAGAAATTACTATGAAAAAAATTAGATGTTATTCAAAACTTCGCATCTTCACAAACCACATTCACTGGGCATACCAACCTGTAAAACGCTTACCTGTTTCAGTGAAACTAATCCTCCATTTTTCTCGACCATAGGTGTGTTTGTGTAAAAGTCAATTAGCTCCTTTAAAGAGGAAAACTGATGTCCACCACCAACATCATACATTCCATTTGGTTTCCCATGTATCATAATATGTGCCACTTGTTCTCCTGTCAAAACTGACAGGACATAAGAACCTGGTCTGTGAACAGATTCACGAACCAAAAAGCAATCTGGCTTCCCTCGTTCTAGAAGCATCTTCTCAGCTTCTTTCCCTGTAATTTTGCCGTGAAACCAACTATTAAAAAAAGAATTATTTCATGAATTCAAACACTGTACTACCAAACAGCATACAAAAAATATATGAATAAATATTTGGTGATTAGAGATGTGGTATGTAGTGGTTGTATTTATTTGTGCTCTATTCAAATAAATTACAAATAAACTCCGGACCTTTATCGACCCGAAATTTATAAGTGTTTTAAAATAAGCAACTTATAAAAGACTTGAACTAAGGCTAAGGATGAGTGACTGTGGCATAGAGTAAGGTAGTTTAGTCATTCCTCTGACAGATCAATGTAAATTCCAATGCAGAAAAGCCGCAAGTGACTGACCCTAAGCTCAGTAGTCACACAAAACTAATCCATTTTCTCTTTCATGTACCAAAAAGGCCAACTTCCACTGTATGGGTAACCAAAAAGTACAAACAGCTACACACATTTTAAACAATACACCAGATAATTCTACTTTCCTTAAGTTTCTGCAAAGTTACTGAAGCAACTCAAAAACCCGTGTAGAACTAACTATTAGAGATTCTTCGAAACATGTTTCGAATTGGTGTCCAAAGGCATCAGTGTATAAGTTTTACCATTATTCAGATTTTGAATGTGGTCGTCTTTTGGTGTGATTAAATTTTTCTCTATATGCGCTTCACCGAGATAATGCAACTAAATCAAACACTTCGGTGCAAAAATCTACGGTGATCATTCTCAGTCAGGGCTAGTGAAATTTCAACAAAGCAATGAGAACACATGATGCAGGATAAAAGTGATTCATTATTTCATGACTATCTCAATCTCGGCAAGTAACATCAAATCCGAACACAGAAATCAAGATGTAATACTACAGTTGAAAGACGACACGAAGTCATTCCCAAGTGCATATATGAACAGTTTGGCTAACTTAAGCCTATCAACGTAGCCATCATTTTATATACATTCCTATTCAAACTGTCAAGGAAAATGACTGCTCAATTAAGCAGTCATATGCATTATTATGCATAGAGGAGATATTAAGCTGAGAGTGGGACAGTAAATATGATATTTGATACTAGAATTCGGAGAAACAACCATAAAAATGTGCGAAATCAGGATTCAAACTGACGAATTTGGATCTATACAAAAACTGATACTCACCGTTCTGTAGTAGGGTCCTCAGAAATGAGCGGATACTTGAGTTCAATAATATCACCATTTTTCTCTCTGAGTTGACCCTCATTCTCCATATAGTATGTAACTAACTCCGACAATGTGGCGAACTTTTCTCCACCATATAAGTCTAGGAATTCTTCTGTGTTCTGTATACGGATGTGTGTAACTTCATCACCTCGACGAACTGAAAGCGTGAAGCTTCCCGGCGTGCTATGACTAGGACGAGCAAGAAAGCTACCACTAACACCTTTTAGGGTTAACAGTTTTTCAGCTTCTAATCCAGTTAAGTTATGGTGGAACCATCTGTAGAAGATAACAACAAGACGAAATGACTTGTGTAATAACAGCTCCACTTTCATTTGACTAAAGGCAGATTACCGAATAAACAGCTAAACTTGGAATCAGTCTTCAGTCTTTGCGGTAACATGCGAATTATATTTATCTACACAAAAGGAATTCATTCAATGTTCCTGCAGAAGAATATGGCATTTACATTCTCTCTACATCAAGACTGAAGATGTAAACATTAAGTTATATACAGGCAGGGAAGAACTAAATATCTACTCCAACATATTGGAAATTTACCGCGATACATATCCTGCTATAGAGACAGAAGACACATGGTCATTCAAAAGCTGAAGTCAGGATATAATCATTGCTTTATTCGGTACGATTGGTACAATAACTTCAACAACCGTAATAACGAAAACTGATTACTTCTCCGTCATCACCTCCAGTGGCGATGGATGATGAAAACGAGTACGGTAAAAGCTCTAATTATAGGCATTTTTCGTTATTACGTACAGCAAAAGTGAAAGCAAATGCAATAAAGCACGGTTTCTTGACGCTTTACCGTCTCACGTAAGATTCCCAAATGGGCATTTGGTGAGTTCATTGCACCAGTAGCAAAAGATCATCGCCAACTAGCCCCAAGTACAGATGACAAAACCCATCAAATTCGAAAGTTATTGAATAAAACAATTACAGCACTGCAATAAGAATCAACTGCACACAGTTACATTTCCAGTAGTGCATAGTGTGACTTTATATCCATGAAATCATTGCGATTTCAACACAGACAATATATTCACTTACAGCTTGCTAGCATACACTTTAAGGAATGAGACGACTAGTCACTAAACTAGGTATGACTGTACTTTAAGAGGGCGATTAAATCTAATACAGTTTATTAATGCGAACTGTCAGAACTGATGTGGGAATATGTCCGTAGACATTTCATCCTCTAAATATGAAGTACGGAGGGTGGGACCCCACCTAGACACATCAGAGTAGTCATAGTACAATTATAGTCTCATGAAAATTCTATCGAGCCATCAGTGAGAGTTCTAATATTACCCAAGTGTACAATAATTCTGAACTGTGCGTCAATAATGCCTTTAAAGGCATATGAATATTTTATCTACCCAAAATGAACTCACTATGTACTGAAACAGAGCTGGTAGTTCTTAAAAATAGTACAGGATGCTTCATTAGTGTGACGAAACCTTAAAACTAGGATTTGCAGCTGAAATAATGTCTTTAGTCCTGAAGTGAAGTAAAGATTTGCTACTATGTGCTGAATTAAGTCTTTTTGTTCTGATGTAATACCAGTCAGTGCTGAATCTAGGCTAAAGGGCTGAAATAACGCTGATTATCAAAACCAGTAGGTTCTGAGATACTTCTCAGAATGCCTAGAAAAAACACAAAGCGCAGAATAAGTGCCAGTCATGTTGAAAACCAGCACTGAGTTCTAGTCTGTGCGCATAATCAAACCATTCCAGAACAACTTCAGAATTTATTCATTATAGAATGTTAGAGTCAGTTCAGAATCAGCGAGAATTCGACATCATAGTAATATGCGTGATTAATATGCATAGAACACGGTACTAAACATGAATGATTTTTTAATCCAGGATGACATAAGTAAAACATTTCAGTCCATTAAATTTTCTAGCAAATTCTGACCCAACTTACAAAAGGGATAATTAATCCGTTTCATCAATATTAAATGTACCATTCAAAACATTTACAAACTCTGCTGATACTATAGCCAGCTAACATTAATTTTGGGCACACTGCAGATACTTTGGGGCAGACTGAAGAAAACAGCCCAACTTTCTGCAGTGCATCAGAAAAAATAGTAGCTAGCATAGGGGAGTTTTCAAGATTATTCTAGAAAACCCTAACAGTATTTGTGGTTATGCCTTCAAATATTGACATCTCTTCATAATGTGAACTTGAAGTCGGTAAACATCAACATATAAAGACTCGCCTTCCACCCGTCTGCCTCATAGATATTTGCAACTTAGCGCAAGTTAGTTGAATTTCCCACGGTTCAAATATCCAATATCATGTTTACGAGCTACTATAAATCATGTTAGTTTCCTTGTACTCGCTTATTGATGTGAAGTAACAGTTCCTGATCTTCAGTAAAGTTCTGAGTAGTATTTCCCACCACTGGACTACCGTAGCTATTGTTTATTCCAAGGGGCAATGGTATGGTAAATGGTCATCTGTAATTTGAAGAACGTAATTAAGTTAATGCCATGCCACTGCTGTAAGTGCATTTGCTCCTGTTACCGGTTAGTCCTCTAGTATGTTTGGAAAGAGAGACAACAGTAGCAGGCATAATTACTGTAGATTTTGTAGAATTAAAAAGAAAGACATTCAAACACATAGTAAAATTCATTAATTCTTTCCCAACTTTTCGTCCTATGGTATATTCTGGAGGCACATCATACCCCTTTTTACTCGCCTTTGGACTATTTGAGAAAGACTGACATCCTTTCCAATTAAAGGGGTAGGAATGGTATTTTGCACTGAAGGCACAATCGTACGTTTAGAGGACGCTGGTATCGACGTTCGCGAGTTGTACGGATTATACTAACGCAAGATCTTATACCAACAACCACTATAGTGTTCGTTCTTCGAGTACCAAATGGTAAAGCAAAAGACCAGATTTTGTCGTCCAAATACGATATATATTTTGGGACCAAATCGCGGGTAGGAATGAATGCTTAGCTAGCTAGTAATCGTGCACGCACGTGACACGACGAAGCACCAAATGGCGGGGATGCTTGACCGTAAGCCTTCAGCTAAACAAGTCGACTTAAACAGTGATGGTCAGCATCCAATGTTGAGTGATGATTGCTGTGGTTAATAATTTTGGGGAATTATTTACCGCTACAGCTCACTCCCCCCTAGTGGGTTTGTGAGGACCCTAAGACATGACCAGCCGGAAGTAAAAAAATCTCGATGGTTCCCTGACGGGTGAAAAAAATCTTCCGAGCGGCTTGATGGAGTGCCTGCTGGTCTGTCTGCCTATGCTAATAGGGTGTCTGTACATAGCTTCCTCAGTGTTGTTCGTTGGATCCCGTGCTTCGTTTGTTTCCTGTCCAGTGCCCATTGCACCTGGAAAAGAAAACAAGAATGCTGAGAACCTTGTCAAGAAAAATGTACCAAATAAGCGTTTTTTTACCAAAAAAATATGACATGCATCTACTATACAGTAAAATAATGTAAAGTTCAAAATATCGGGAAAAAAAAATATACATCTTATATAATTTTATGTACGGTTATAGGAAAAATATCATTTACTTGTGTTAAATGACGCAACATAAAAAAAAATTGATGTGTCACTCAGTTATGTGAGATAGGTGTGAAGGTATTCTGGAAATCTAACGTGACGTCCAGAACGCGTTTTTTTAGAGTGATCGACGGAAGGTTCGGTGGCTTTCGCCGTGCTAGGGAGTTCTTCAGGGGCCAGTCGTCGTGCTTTAGATGTCACGGGCTGTCCTGAGGTTATGATGTGGTGCATAACATTGCTGGTTATACACGGGAGATCGTTAGATGGGCAATTGAGTTCCGGGTATTTGTCAACAATCGGTTGAAAAGTTGGATCGAGGATTGCTTTCATCTTAACGATTGACAAGCTGGGGCCTACGTAAGTTATGCCTTTGATAGACAAACTAGTAGTGTTGTCAATTAATCGTTTACGGCGGACGTCTACGAGCAAATCATGATGATTAAGTAGGTCCGTGCCAATGATGGGCATTGTGACGTCAGCGATTAGGAAAATCCACTGAATAGGTTTGCGTAAACCTACGTTCAGATAGACGTATTTCCGACCATAGGTTGCAATTGGTTTTCCATTTGCAGCCTGTAGGTTGAAGTTAGGATCCTTCTGTCGATCTGCTGCTGTAGCAGGAAGGACGCTGACTTCGGCGCCTGTGTCGACTAGATATCTAGTCTGGCTAATTACATCACGGATGTAAAGTAAGCGGCTAGTGCCACCGGCGACGGTTGCCGCTAACGCGTGCCGGCGGGATAGTTTCCCACAGACTTGGAGGCTTTGCCGAAATCACAAGGTTTTCGACAACATTTCGCTTCCTTGCCATAGGTGTTGTGATACTAACACCAGTCAGGATTTTTGAGAGAACGTGTGTTGGACTTAGATCGTCCACGTACGTTTAGCCGTTGAAGGGATTTAGAACGACGATAGGAAGAATTGCTAGGCTTGTTTGACCTAAGCATCTGCTGGACGGAGTTGATTAACTCTATCATTGCAGAATCCTTCTTCGAAGTCTGTTCGGTAACAGAGTATACTTCGGTAACTGGCCGTTTCGTTATCTCTAGAATTCTATCTGCAGAGACAGCTAAATCATCTATGAGAACACCCTGAAGTGTCACAAGTACAGTCTGAACTGACTGTGGCAGTTTGGATAAAAATAGTTCTCTGAACAGTCCTTCATCGAACTGACTTTGGCCAATGATCTCTTTCATTCTTGCCAGCATGCTCACGGCTGACTTATCTCCTAACTCGATGTTACGAAATAACTCATCCAGACGTTGTCGATCTGTGAGAACGTTTCTCTTGAGTATGGATGCTTTTAGCAACTCGTATGAGTTACTTACCGACATCTGCAGAGTTACGCACCTGCCGAATTCCCGCGGTAGGGCGTGAATAACTGCAAGGAACTGTGAACGTTGATCAGTTATGCCATGTTCACAAAAATCAGACTCAGCAATCTGAAACCACGTTTCAGCATTATCTGGCCAATATGGTACTAGCTGGATTGTTTTGGCGGTTGAGCGAATCTGGATAACCTTGGGGCTAGGATCACTCATGACGAAAAGTATGCCGATAACAATATAGTACAAGAATAAACACAAAAAGGAACGAACTCACCGGGTTTATCTGCGTGTGAATTGAAGATGTAGTTCGTGGTTGGGCTCACCAGTTTAGTTGGTTGACGGGCTCACCAGTTTAGAGATTGATGGTGTCGACGTTCGCGAGTTGTACGGATTATACTAACGCAAGATCTTATACCAACAACCACTATAGTGTTCGTTCTTCGAGTACCAAATGGTAAAGCAAAAGACCAGATTTTGTCGTCCAAATACGATATATATTTTGGGACCAAATCGCGGGTAGGAATGAATGCTTAGCTAGCTAGTAATCGTGCACGCACGTGACACGACGAAGCACCAAATGGCGGGGATGCTTGACCGTAAGCCTTCAGCTAAACAAGTCGACTTAAACAGTGATGGTCAGCATCCAATGTTGAGTGATGATTGCTGTGGTTAATAATTTTGGGGAATTATTTACCGCTACATACGTATGTCTTGTACAACCTTGGGGAAAACTCAGAAGTGAATGCACCTAACTGTGTACAACCGCATATGCTGCAATCAGCTTCTCCGTTAGAGCGAGAACTAAGTGACACTGTAGTGTTACAAATGAGAAGCAATGGTCACACAGGGAACAAATCACTCTCTTCGGCGCAGTACCGAGTCATCAATTTTCAACAGTGTCTTAATCATGTCCTTCAGTTCTGAGCAAGTCCAGTTAATGTTACGACAGCGACAAAAGCAGTACGCGGACTTCAAACTGAAACTGATTAAAGTACAAACTAGTAAATTATCTTTACTGATATTGTTGATTCCATTATTCAATCAGTCATGGAAGTACAGAGCATTTTATCGGTTGGTGCATTATTTGCACAGTCCGGTTTCGGTGAATCCATCAAAAGTGATGTTAAAAGCAGGCGGATAATCTAGATTCTAGTAATAATTCAAAATCTAGTGTAGGTTGTACTTGCGAAAAAGCAAGAGATATGAGCAACTCAGTCGCAGAGATTTTCAATCTGGTTTCTCCTATCTCAAAAGACAATGAAGAATTGTCGCCAATTCCCACCAAATGCTGTGTTTCTGAAAATATTTTTAACTTAGTTAATGAAATCCCTTACGACATTCTACGCTTTTCAAATAGCTCGGAAGATTTATTTCATCTTACAAACCGTTATAATTTGAATCTTTCCGGCATTGAATTGGTTGATAAACCATCCCTTTTGGAAATACTTTTCGCGACACTGATTCTGATGGAGCGAGGTTAATTTCTCGTAAAATCTTTAACGAACATGCATCTGTATTCTTTATCCGCCACAAATTTTAATTCTGGTCAAGGAATAATGCAATCACTTCCGTAATTTTGCTGGTAAGGTCAGGTCTGCATCAATGAAGAATCCCGCACTATTTTAAGGGAGCGGTATGATAGATGGAGTTCGCTCAGGCCACAAAATACCTTCTGATGGTCTCCTAAGTGAAAATCTAATAAAATTGGGAGGTGTTAGGACGGAGTGACCATGACTTTTAGCCGTACAGTTATCATTTATGCAATCAATCGGATATTATTATTTATGAGTAAAATTTTTGCTGCCGTGCCAACCATATATGCCTTTTATTCCATACTTTTACCTGGACACCAAATCCCTACGTCATCAACATAATGAAATGCTTGACTCTTTGAGAAACATGGTTGATCATTGATGAATATCAGACACGTGCATGGCCGTACTACATAACCCTATGAAATTCTCAGTTGTTCTGAGATGAATAAATACGGTTAACTTAGGGATAAAATTCTCTTCCATCTAGACAGTACTTCAATCACGAGAGAAGCAGGTCATTAATAGCCGCTCAACTAATTGTATGGAGGAGAACACCACGCTAAATGCTGTCAAATACCTAGCACGATGTCCAATCACTCCATGGTAATAATAGAGGCGTTGAGCAGGATCTGCTTCTCTCAAAATATTTGTCAAAAATGACCCGTCTCTCTGCAACTTTTAAACCTGTTACTGACTAATTAGGAAAAAATAACCTTGATGTGTGTGGCAACGATTCTTATTCTTAATTTATATCCAATTATTATTGTATCCTTTAATTCCTAGAGGAACATAGGGCTTCAGCCGTGCGTCTCCATTGCGTTCGATTCTCTGCTAGAGTCTTCA